TTTATAGTATATTATAAAAAAATTGCTTAATACTAAAAAACTCTTAAAAATCTTTTTAATAAAAATTTCATCCGTACTAATAACTTAACTACCGTTACGCCAATTCTCTTTATCAAAAAACTAGGAAGAAATCTTCGGTTTTACTACAATTATAGAATTTTTAATACTATTACTAAAATAAACTAATACCTATTACCCGTAATTTAAAAAAAAGTATTCAAAATTATTACTAAAACGAAATAGCTTACTAAAATAAATATCGTACAAATATTTTATAAAATCCGTATAACCGAAGGAAAGGAAAGGAAAATAATATTTCAAATTCGATATAAATTATTTAAATAATTAATCATACCTTTCGGACTATTAGGAATACCAACGACGTTTTAATAATATATTAATAATATTCTAAGTAATTACTTTAATAACTTTACCTTAATATATATAAGTAATATACTAATTTTCGTGTTAAACTCTAAAATAAATTATTTAACCAAAGTATACAAAATCGTTAAATATATAACCATCGCTAAACTCTACTTAAATCCTAAAAAATACGAATTCGTAATAAAGAGTATTAAATATTTAAATTTTATTATTATTACAAATATTAATATTCAAACGAACCCGGAGAAAATTAAAATAATTATCGAATAAAAGGTACCTATATTTTGAACAGGGGTATAAAATTTCCTTAAATTTACTAACTATTACTAGATATTTATTAAAGACTTTTCTTCGGTTATAGGATTACTAATAGCCCTTACAAGTAAGCGGGTCCCCTTTAAATAAACTGAATAATATAATATAACATTCAAAAAATTAAAGAAATTATTTATTAAAACCTCTATCCTCACTTAATAAAATCCTAATTTACCTACTTTTTTAAAAGTAAATTACAACAAGTATAGTTTCAATAATATTTTTACCCAAAAGAATAATAAATGAAAAATAGTAGTTACTTATTACTTCTAAAGGTTGACCCCTACTAAACGCAACTACCCTATCTACAATAAAAAAATACTTATAATTATTAAATATATAAAAGAATAATCTACGGAATTTAAGAGCTATAAGAAATCTATCATCGTTATTAATTATTGCAATCTCAAATACTTTATAAAAAGGTAAAAGCTTTCTAAATAGTAAATATAATAGGCTGAATTTCTTGTACAATTTAATTTTGAAATCCTTTACCACCCGGGGAAATTCGTTATAATTCTTAATATTCTATCTTATTAGGACTAAAACCGCCCTAGTAAAAAGGATGTAGAAGCTAAAAAAAATATAATTAATTCCCTAATCTACTCTTAAAAATTATATTCGTATAGTCGCTTCTTCTATTATAGTAAAGGAGGGCGTAAAAGTATTTAAAAATCCAAATTTGTAATAACTTTTCGAAAAAGTCTCCTAAGAAGACGAAATTTAGTAAATTATCCGCTAAACCATTATTAATAAAAATAGGACCTTCCCAGCTTCTGTATAAGGCCTAAAGGTTTAATTCGGCGAATATACTATTAACGGATTCAATAAATTATACTATAGAAACCGTATCTAAATTTTAAAAACCTCTACTATTATTAAAGTTATAGCTTTATACATATCCCTAAAAAACGCTAAAAGGAATATTTTCCATACCCGTATTATTTAAGAAATATATAATTCGAAAACTCTTAAATACCCTAGAAGAGAAAGTACTATTTATATTATAAATAGAAACTTCTATTAACTACTAATAGGCACTTATATCCGTCGGTTCTTAATTAATTACAATATTTATAATAAAGTAAAATACTAAAAAGATTAGAAAAGAAGATTATTAAAACCTCTTCCTATCCCAAATTAATTTTTTTAAAATATCCAAATTAATTTCATTACTAATCTCCTTCCTATAAGAAACTATATTAACTTCCTTATTATTAAAAACAGGTTTAGTAAATTAAAAGTTTTAGAGCTAATACCCTCTATAAAAATAGAAATAATAATAAAAGCTTTCCTTAAATACTTCGTATAATATTATAAATAGCTATAATCTATTATTAGTAATAAAGGTACTAATTGGATTAGCCGATTTTAAAAGTATTTCTATAACTTACTAGTATTGATTAACTCTTAAGTACCGCTTTTTACCTCTAAACCGATAGTAGCCCCGAAAGAATGAATTAAAAAATATAAACCTTCTTAAAAGTTTTCGTCAATTACGCCTAAAATAATTAGGATCGTTAATACTTAATAATATAATTAGTAATTAATAACCGAATTAATACTTCTATTAATATATTTCTATTCTTTATTACTTATAATTATTATCTACAATCCCTAAAAGCCCTAATAATTCCCCTAATAGAAATAAATCTTAAGAACCCGTAAGTAAGAATTAAAAACTTCGTTGTAATACTATAACAAATTACAAATTTATATTAAATAATTATAGTAATCTCTATATAAGAGTAGGAACGTTTTATTAATTATAAGAAGTAATTAATTAAAATCTTTAAAGTAGGAGATAAAGTTTAATTAAAATTCAAAAATTTTATTATAGTACGCACTAAAAAAAAGTTTGATTAAGTTTACGCGAAATATATAATATTTAAAATTCTTAGCCCTTTCGTAATAAAAATTTCTAATTTCTCTTTAAGGGTCTTTAATAAATTTTATATAAATTTATTTAAGAAGGCTTGTAATAACCTTCTATTGGACTAAATTACTACTAACTTTTAACTGCTAACTATTATAATAAATAAGGAAAAAGAATATTTCGTAAATAAAATCCTCTATTATATAACTAAACGAAATCGTAGAATAATCTTAATTAATTAAATTAGCTAAGTATAATAATTTTAGGAACCGCTAAAAGAATTCGCTAATATAATAGCCTTAAACTATTTCGAAATAAAACATAATTTAACCGATATTAATAATAAATTAATTAAATATTTTAAGATAAAATATATAAAATAATAAAAACGGTAATAAAGAAAGGAAAAAAGAAGGTAATAAATATTGATTTTAAATTTTTTTAAATTTTCTTTAATATTTTACGTTTCTAATTATTCCTAATTTCTATAACTTCCAATTACTTTTCGAACGATTCGAAGCAGGCTACCAATTCTATTATAATAAATTCCCTAAAGAGGAAGGTAGGGATCAGAGGAATAACCAGGGTAGCGGGAATAGTAAAAATTGAGGGAATAGTAATAGCGTTACTAAAGGTTGAAAAAAAGTAATTATATTCCTATTCAAAAGTTTTAATTAATTGAAATTTAGTTTTATTAAAATAAATAAAAGAAAAGAAATTTATAAAAAAATAGTACTATTTTTATATAATTTAGTAACGCAACGTTAAATAATTATAATTTTATAAATGTATTCGAAAGCCTTTATCTTTTTTTTATTAGAAATCGCCGTTTTCTAAATTATAGCGAACTTTCAAATTAAAGACGAAACTTAATTATACCGTTTATTATTATTATAATAAATTATATACGGCTAATTTCTAAATTTAATATAATATTTGCGTAGGATATTTAAATACAAAATATATAGGACTTCGGAGAGGTTATAATCCGCTTAAAGAATAAATAAAATTAATAATAATTTTTTAGGGTAGGAATAATAGGGAAAACTTATTAATAAGTATTTAAATTTAATAAATTTAAACTTTTTAGGAGTAGTAACGAGGTTTTTAATATACCCGTAACGGGCGGCGGCCTTTTAAAAGGGGGATTAGGAATTGTATAATAGCGGCGAAAACGAAACTTCGCTCTTAAATAACTAAAATAAGGATAGAGACGGTTAGGACGAAATTAAATAAAATATTTACTTTAACTAAGAAGGGTAAGCGAAATATTAATTAAGGGATAATAATATTTACCTTAGTAATTTAAGCGACGGTTAGAGAAAAAAGAGGAAAGGAAAAAGAGAGAGAGAAAACATCGGGGGAAGGGTTTTTATATATAATTTTAGAGGTACGTATATACGTACGCTACTACCTACTACCTATTACCTTCATTAATTGAAATAGAAGGAGCGAATGCGTAGAGGGGTAGGAGGAGGGAGGAGGGGGGTAATATTATAGGGTTAAGACCCGGGCTATAGCGCTCTAATTATCGACTAAAACTATTATAAGGCGCCGTAGCTATATCTATATAACCCCTATTAAAACCTCGCATCTCTAGTAGAACCGCCTCTCAAACAAAACTTTCCTTCTTTATAGAACCTTAATTAAACTATATGATCAATACCTATATTAACCGTGCTGTCCCCGTTACAGGTAACTTCAGCGTTATTATTAAGGTCTTTGTTAGTAGCTATAAAAGTAGCGTTAAAGGCTACCGGGGTACGGTAAATTAAGAGCCTAGCCTCAAAACGTTAGAAGGATTTTCGAATTCTTTCGATACAGTAGGTAGTTGCGGCCTTAAGGGCGTAATTGGAATAACGTGGTTCTTAAGGTTTAATAATGGCTAATTCGAAGCTTTATAGATAATTAGTGAAGTCTAAACTTTTAACGTACTTTAGGAATTTATTACTCTATTTATAGAATTTTGAAAGAGTATTGAAGTAAGGTCGGTTAAATTTAGAAGTGGATTCCTTAGATAGGGATATAGTTTCGGTTGTATATAGGGTTATATAAATAAATCTCGTGCTTCTAAATATACTCGTATAGCATAGGGATTGCGAAATTAGACTATTAATTATCAAATTGTACGGTTATATAAATGTAGAGAATATAGGTTAATCGCTGTATTGATCGAGTTTATAGAGTAGAAAGACTATATATATAGGTTGGGGGATCCTAGAGTATTAGGGAGGTCTGCAGCGCTGTTGAGGTGGCTGGGAGGCTAGTCCTCTTACAGAACCCTCGTCTTACTGGCTAGATATGGCCCACCAAATTGACAAATGCTTCCAACTTTTTTGTCATTAGCGTGGCCGGGTAAGGCTGAAGATTACCTCTAGTATCAGGGAGCGGGTGAGGAGACGGATTGCAAGGGGATCCATGATCTTTAACGACAGTTTCCAAAACGACATTATACAAATGATGATAAGTCATATCCAAATCGCTATTTACATAAGATACTGGCCACATTGACAACCAAAAGCATGGGCACGATACATGTACGATCCTCCGCTGAAATATTCACATTCACAACACCCACCGGCGTTTGGCATGGCCTCCCGTCGGTTATCCACCTTAAGCATCCAGCGGCTTTTGCGCCCTCACCATGCGCCACCTAATGTTAGAATGAATCTTAGCTTCCCTGAACTCTCGGCGAAGAGCAGTGGCGTAGTTTGCGACTTCCTTCGGGGTCCACCCCATATAGTTGGGCATGAAATAGACAAGGAAGCCCTCAATGTCATGTGTCAGCGCCACAGACTGGTAGAGACCCAGCTGCTTCATCTTCGGGTCATCAGACCAGGGCGTGCCGGGAACCTAGATCTCGGGGTCAGCTTCAGCTCGTCTCAAGGGCTCACGGACAAGGAAAGTCTTACATAGTAATCCTCGGACGTAATGTTGGTGAACCCAGCGTTCTCCATTCCCTTTTCCATCGTGTCTGAAGAAACCACGTGGAACTCGAGCCCGGTCTTCCGCCCAACCTCTTTCCAAATTGGACCCCACTGGGCCATGGCGGAAGTCTTAGCCATCGTTCCATCAAAGCAATACCATCCAGCATCGCAGTCAAGTTGTTCAATCCAACCGCCCGGCTTGCAGCACCGGTAAGCCTCCTTATACAGGGCATCCCAATCCTTGATGATGCCCGTCATAAAGCGAAGATGAATGAAGTCGAAGTAATTTTCTTCATAGGTCCACTCCTTAGTTGCGTCATCGATCAAGAAGCGGGCGTTTGGAGGTACCCAGCTAGGTTGAATAGGGGAAATGTCGGTGCCAATTACGTTGCAATTGGGATGATCGTCCGCAAAGTCACTGTTATATGAAAAAATAAGATGTTAGCACTCGAAGATCGACCCAGGAATCTGACAGGTCAGTCTTACATGGCCCAGACTCCTGCACGTAAAGATGGTCAGTAAAGTTGAGTAAAGGGGAGAGATGGCGGTCCAGGTTGATCAGCTTACCAGTGCCGGTACCGATATCAATAGCGTTCTCGATCTCCTTCTCATTGAGCGGGGACGTATACAGCTTTCCATCGAACAACCTAACCAGGGTCGCGTGGAAGATATCCAACATCTCATTTGCCTTGGCATCATTAGGGCCCCTGAGTGGTGCACATGGACGAGTGGTTAGTTCAGCTCCACAACATCAACGGGTACAGCACTCGTCTTGCTAATGCTTTCCAGTTCAGACGTACCAATACTCCGTGTCAGTCACAGAATCGCTGTGGTAGGTTCGTCCCAGGACATCACGGTAGTGCAAGATGCTGGAAGTGATCGAGGCGGTCGAACTTTCGGCGTCACTTCCCAGGGTCGAGTCATTGTCCTCATCCAGCTCCTGTACGTGTAGAAGACTTTTTGTCAGCATCCGCCATTCTCAAAATGATAGATGGAAATGCTGTGGTCATGGATGTCTCATTCGTTGACAATCAATCTAGCTCACTCGCTAAGAGAAGAGGAGAAGAGAGTCGTCGGACGAAGTGTTTATGCAGGACAATGGGCATGCGTCCGTTAGACGCAGATGCTGCCACTGCCTAACACGTAGGATCTGGGAAGGTGCGAGACCGCCAGGAGCTCCTGCATGACAGACGCCTGGTGGAAACCGAAAAGAGGATGCATATGTAAATGAAACGAACCTGCTGGCCCCAATGGGCACCGGACAAAAGGCCAACAGGCTCCGAAGACTCATCGGCCACTGGAGACGTGGGAGCAGGCGTGGGCGACTTCGCAGGACCCGGTGTGGGCGACTTCTTTCCCGCTGGTGACGCGGGACCAGGTGTGGGCGACTTCTCCTTTCCCTTTGGTGACTTTGCCTCGGGTGCTGGCGATTGTGCCTTTTTGAAAGAGGAACTCATCGTCGCGGATGGATATTGAAAGGGTTGAAAGATTGGTCAGTGAACTGCAGAGGTTGGCCAAAGTCGATGCTTGGTGTTTTCGCGTGCCAGCGGCCCAGTATATAGGATTTCTCGTCACCTAGTTACCCCTCCTCGAAAAAGAGTCTTCCGAGACTGCCCTTGCACAGAGCGGTCAAGAGTGAAGGTAACCTCCTTCCTTTCGAACTGTGTGCTTCGGTCACCTCTTTCCTTTTGACTGGTCACATTCGTGCTTGCTTGTGGGGACCTTTCGGTACCTCTTGGACTAACAGAAAGCACGCAGCCATGCGGCTACAGCCGGAAGTTAGTGTTAGCTGTCAAGTAGCTTCATGTACCGTGACTGTGGGCTTTTGCTGAATCAAGGATTCCATTGGCTGCAATCCATACCAGATACCGAGGTGGTGGAAAAACACAGTGAATGGGCGAGTTGGCAAACGTTGCAATACGCACAAGATCAGGCGTGAATAAGAAAAGATGCTGCAAGTAGCACGGCCGCGACCACGTAGCACGTCTAGAATCCAAAACAACAAAACATCATCTTATCTGTTATCTTTTCAGCGATCATGGCACCGACCTTCACTCCTCCGCAGAAATTGTTAATTCAACAAAGCCATCCCGATTTCGACCAGCCCTTCATCTTTTCTGACCCAACCAACTTCAGTGAGAGAGTCATCCCAACAAGCAATGAATGATGATAAACACGGTGGTCTGGGGTCTTCGCAAGACAATTTTTAGCAAAGACGAGACAACCGCCTTGAGTGAGATGAGACGCGCAAAACCAAAACACGGAGACAGTACAAAACGAGAGTGGGGGGAAAACCCAAGGGGAGAAAAGGAAGAAAAAAAAAGTAAGAACACAAACTGATAAGGGAATGAAGCCATGAACGTGATGATTGTGATATGCCTCTTTTCTCCCGTGCTTTAAACCTTCCAAGCTCGCCCACTGGATATCTGAGTAAAGATTCCAGCAATGCTGGAGATGATGCGATGCTGAAGTTGCTGGGTATGTGTTGAGGCTTCCACTCTTGCGTTCTGAGACGCCCGTAACATATGAGGTGTTCTGGATTCTGGTTGACGACGTGCTGGGTTTGTTACTAGGAGAAGCGTTAGTTCATTCGAAGGACAACCGGGATTGTGTAGATGGACTTGACATCTGAGTGGGTAATATATATGCTGTTATTTCTACGTACCTTTGATCAAGTGTGCTTATACTAGTTTGATGGTGCGTGGCTTGCAATGAGAGAGTATGTCCTTGAACCGCTTGTATATCGTTCCAACTCCCAGTCGAGTATAGCCATCGTCGGGGTTCACTCCCTCTCTGAGAATAAGACCGTGAAAATCGGAATAAATGTCAATCAGTAGAAAACAGACTTTCCACTGGCGAAGTAAGTGAGAAAAAGCGGGTGCATCGAGGCTGACATCCCCGACTGAAACGCCATCCTTCATCATCCTTCGATCATCTGTGAGTGCATGCGAGCCTGTAATCGGATCGCCAACATCAATGTCAACCAGTAGAGCACCGCTAAGAACAAGGGCTCCACATTGAAGCGCACCATATGGGTCCTGATATTTTGGGATTCCCACCATCTCCTCAACTTTGAGATCGTGTCTAGCAAGCCCTGGAGAACACGTACCGAATATTACCGGTGATCCCACTGATGCCCAGGACCAGCTCGGCTCTATATAGGCAGGCTCAGTCGCAGTTTGATACGCGGGCTCAGGTTTTGACCGTTGCGGCACAATCATCCAACGGAGGGCTCTAGGGAGAGACGTGCTCCACATCCCGCCAACATATGTGGCGCCTTGATAGGACTCCTGCGCAGCGTGCGCTAACCCGGACAGCGCAACTAACTTGTCGCTTTGTTTTGACAATGACCGTGCAGAATAATTCTCAACGATATCCTGCCAGGATGCTTTGCTCTTGAACAGTCCGTTCGTGGCACCCTGGAATCTTTCGTTATGTACCCATGGCCGTTGGGAAGTTGCACGGAGTTCGGTACACTCCCAAAGCGGCCCTTTCTTGGAGAATGAGATCACTCTTCTCGACAGCTCCCTCTCTTGTAAGGTCCAGGCGCGGTCGTTAAGGGGCCCGTCATCGACAGACTCGTGTATCTCATCAATCCTGACAGGAGTTTCAAATATCCGAACTCGCTGATGAGGAAACCTCGTTTTGTTTTGGCCGGGTCCATAGTCGTAGAAGTCAATATCAACAAAGCGGTTAGAGTAAGAACTCTGGATATCGGCAACCATCTTGCAACCTTCAGTGCTATCCCTTGAGCTGAGAGCAGCGAGTGTGAAGTAACTATGGCCGTAAACCAGAGCCATCAAGGCGGCTTCACTTGCCCAGTCATCCTCATCGTCCTGAATGATACAAAGGGAATCTATCCACAGAAATCTCTGCTTTAGGGAGCGAGATATCTTGATAGAGTCTTGGAACGTCTGGGAAAGCGTTTTGAAAGGAATTCGCGTCATACGTTCGCTTAAAGTTGCCTTTGTCGTAGTGATCGAGTGCTTTGAAGGTGGTCCCCAGCAGTGACTCAGTGTAACATATTTTGGCGGTGGTCCGTCAAAATCGAGTTCGCCTGCATTCACTAGACGGATGTCTTCGCTATCGGAAAATGCTTCAAGGTCAGAAGTCTGGTAGGCAAAAAGCACCCGACATTACTAGAGCATTGAGCATGGTTGTCTCGACAATTTTCCAGCCAGACCTCTATGAGTGGAAGATTTTCCACATGTTCCCCCATTTTGGCAGGCTTCAACCTGGCTGCAGAAGGGAAATCTGTCAGTAGGGTACCAAAACTTCCACTTCCTACGATAGGGGTGAATGGTGATGTAGCCAAGTCCAAATTAACCAAGGCTAGACACGAAACTTACACCAAGGATATGGGACCAGGGAGAATCCGAAATGCAGCGGATAGAGGTCGACTGTGGGTGAAATCACGTGTCGGGTATCCCCAATAAATGTAAGTACGGAGCGGGCCTTTGTCACTCCAAACGGGTCATAATAAGGAGGTCGTCTCATCTTAAGGACCTCAAGATCCCCTGATTGACGATCCGCATCTCGACTGGGGCCCAATTGCAGAATACCGCATAGCTGGCATCCTCTTTCTGCTTCAAATCGCATCGACTCCAACGGCTGAAGCTTGAGGTGTATGTTCTTGGATTTACCGGACCAGAACGACGCCGGGATTGACGAACATATCTTGCAAAGCTTGCTGCCTGGGCGATCCACCTTCGCTTGAAAAGACGGGCATTCAGAAATGTCCATTTTCGGTTCTCGATGCTGGAACAAGAACTTTGATCGGACGAAGTGGCTCCCCGATTGCTTCCTATGGTGGGCATGGTATACTATGTCAGAGACTGACTGGTCTAATCATAGGGAGCCTAGCAGATTCAATCAGCCAAGAAGGAATGGTCCAACTTACCGCACGGACTGAGTTTCCCACAAGATGATGCAGCAAAGCAAAGGCTGTGAGCTTCCTGACGGCGGCGAGGTTAGATGAATATGGAGGTCGACGGCGGTTAGCATGAAAATGCTTCCTGGCCCATGGATCTTGTCTGCCTCGTGACCCCGCTCCTCGCCCACCGGCAGCCAGCCTATATTAAACACACCACTCAAGCATTGGACCCACGGTGATTCGGGACCTAGGTACTATCCCCTGTTCAGTAAATGACCGGTGCGACCAAGACACAACTTGAAACTTGCGTCAACGTGAATACTACCTTACCTAGTAGTTTTGGGAAGCCTTGAACAGATCCCGATTGGGCCGCTACATATGCAGTTGTCAGATTCTAGGGTGGCATTCTGGCCAGATGTGGACTAGATGCCAGAATCCCAGCCACCTGATTTAACAGGTCTTGGCAAATATGGGTTACCCCCAGAACCCCCATACCTTCTGAAGAGAGCGCTCGAGTCAGATACACACAGAATCAATAAATCACGAGTAAATCTGACAGTAGTGGCCGAGCTAGAAGAACGTTCAGTGCGACAAGTCAGCCTCTAGAGGTACCTGTACCTTATCTTTCACGAGTGTCGCCATGGTGCTCCGGAACTCGTGCTGAACTCGGACTCTGGCACCTGTTGAGTGCTCTCTGAATTTCCGTACATAGATCCCCTCTCTACGTTAGGATCACCAAGTGGAAGGTGTGCCTAAGTATTGTAGGTCGACGTTGAGGTTCGAAAAAGAGAAAGAGGCATATCTGCCTCGAAAGAAATAGAGAAAGGATCTCGTGAGTGTTCATGACGAAGATGAGTGTAGCTTTGCGGTCCATGAACTTTCGTCCGCCCGTGCTCAGCTTCGTAGGCTTAGAGGTCAGATATTCCCTCCATCCCGCAAAGAGGCCACTGAGCGCTTCATGTGAAATGTCTGCGATGAAGTTACCAAGGAAGGTTGGTGGGTTCGACGAGAGCATGCCGATGCTGAAAAACGCTCGTGGTATGGAAGGCCAAAACGAATCAGGACACCAAGTGCCTCAAGAAACAAACATTTGGGTATAATATTGTCGGCAAAGGAGGAGGAGGCGAGCGGCTGCGAGAGGAGGGAGCCTCGAGGGAGCCTACGGATACATACCTCAACCGGGTCGTTGGCAACCGTGATGCGATGCCGTGAGTCGTAACTGCATGATGGTCTAGTTGATCTTCACGGTCGTTCTTTCACGAAAGGCTGTAAAAGTCTGTGATTCACTTACCCCACTCAGAGGGCGAAAAATATGTCGGATATGGCAACATTTGGAAAGGACGAGAGAAGAAAGGAAAGAAGGAAGGAGGTCACGGTTGATGCGGCTCACGGCAGGCATGGCGGTGCTGGTTAATCGGGCAGGAACATGCGCGGCGCACAGACTATACTCAACCCGCCCGGGCGGACGTCGGTGCCAGTCAGCCAGTTATTCAGGGGCATCAAAAGCGTACACTAACGCGCTGACGCCTATGTAGCGGCGAAGTCTGCTAGTGTCTGTTAGCGTAAAGCCCCAAATAGACGGGTGCCGTTTTTCGAACCTCGCGAGTCTCCCATCCCTTTAACGGTGAAATGTTGACATTTTAGCGCGCCCCGCAAGATATCTAGAGGACTTAGTGACGTGGCTTGTCAGCTAAGCACTTCGCCTACATTGCTAGCAAACGCTACCAAGGCTAGGGTTTCCGGGGTCTTTGCAAGCACAAGAGGTATCCTGCAGGAAAATAGGAACCACCGATTGGCTCAAACTTGCAGGACGCTAAAATGTCAACATTTCACCGTTAAAGGGATCGCAACATCTGTCAGATTATAGGTTGGCTGATTGAGCCACTACTCCGACAAGTTCGGAGCTACGGTTTTGCCAGTTTGGTGTAGTGGTGCCAATCTGACAACATCCCTTCCTGCAACCCCCGGCCAAACCTCGTTGGTCTTGTCACCTTCCGAATTCGGGTCTCACAATTTTATTGTTGGTCCGGATCTGGTTGTCCGGTCCTGGTACGGCATTTAATCCGGGGCACCAGTGTCGTCTCCTTACGGGGGCACCAACCGTTATATACGCACCAATATTTCAATCCTTGGCACGTGTTTTTGACGTAAAATAGCATTTACATGGTAAATTCCATAGTGTTACATGTACATGGAAAAAATCGCAGCGATGTCCAGTGACATAGTTTTGTATGGAGATTTGTATGGCACACAATGTTTTCAACATGGAGACTTCTATGGCATTCATCTACATACTACAAATGACCATGGTATGCTTCAAAGAACCATGTAATCCGGTTATACTTTATATAGTGTTTTGGCTCTCTCTGGCCTCGTGCAAGCGCGGGCCGTCTATCGGTTTGCGGGCATGCAGAATGGGAATGAGTGCTGGTGTGGAGAGTATGCCGGGAGGAAGAAAACGGGGGCGGAGATGGGTTATATGGATGCGGAGAGCTGGGCGAGGAATCAGAGCGAGTGCACTATTCCTTGCTCGGGTGATGAGAGCAAGTTCTGTGGCGGGAAGGATTTGTTGGCTGGTTTTGATACGGAGGATCACGAGCCTTATAGTTCTTTGTCTTCTATGGGGGTTAGCACCGGGGCCAGTACCAGCACCAGTGCTGCTGTTGGCACTATGACTAGCACCAGCATTGCGACCAACACCACAGGTGTTGATGCTCCCGGTGCTAGCGAGACTCGTGCGAGTTCCGGGGCTGTGAGGAATTTGGTCGTGCCATGGAGCTTCGTTGTGGTGCTATCTATGGCATTGTTCTCATAGATAGAGGACAGCTTGTGGACTCTCAATGGTTGAAATCGTATGAAATTCGGGGCGCTCTAGGAACGCCAATGCTATGAGCAAGACACCAGAAACATGCGGAGATACATACATGGCCACCAATATCAAAGATCAGAACCAAGTACCTTGGTCGTTGCTCAACTCTTTCGCTCACTCAATCCAACTATAACACCGCTAAAAGCCTTCACCAAAATATGCCACGACCTGATAGAATTGTTTGTGCAGTGGCATAGGGGTATACCACTCTTCTTGCACCCAAAGAGAAATTGCAGCCCCCTCACTTCGCCTTACTCTTATCATCCTCGCTCTTGTCATCTTCGCTCTTGTCAGCGGGTGACTTCTTGCTGTCGGGGTTGACGTTCTTGTCTCCATCCTTCTTGCTGTCCACGTCATTGTTGTTTTCCGACTTCTCCTTCATGTCGGAGCTGCCCTTGGTCTTTTGCTTGTTGACTTTTTCCTCCTGCTTCTTCTTGGCCTCCTCTTCCTTCTTCTTTCTCTCTTCCTCCTGCTTCTCCTTCTTGATTCTCTTTCTTTCCTCGGCCTCCTCCTTTTCCCAGTCGTGGTAAGGCTTGTCAGCTCCAGTCTTGTAGCTCACAAGATCGGTCAGCTCTTGGGTGCTAAGGCGAGCATGGGTCTCGCCGATCTTGAGACGACCAAGGATGCTGATAAAGAGAGCGATACCGACGATGCCGGTCAGGACAAAACGGTAGGTGGCATACCAGGAGGGCGCCCATCCCTTGACGGTGGCTCGGGAATCAGCATAGTAGAGACCGGTGAAAGCAAGGAACTGCGTGGTCAGGGCCCATTGGATAGGCATCAACGTGGTGGGCCAAGCAACGATGGGTGCCAACAGGCCCAGGCTGTAACGGAAGCGGGTGCGGGCATGTGAAGGAGTCTTCTCGGCAAACTCTAGACCCCAGTGGATGGCACCGAGGAAAGAGATGAGGACTGCACCATAGCCCACCTGGATGGGCTCAATGATGGCAAGCAGGTCTTTGACGGTCTCATGTCTGAACAGAATGGTGTTGAGGAGGCCGGACTCGGAAGGGTACCTCTGGTTGAGATTCCAGGAGAGATAGACGGTCGAGAGAGAAGTGGCTAGGTAAGGAATCGTGCCGGCAAAACCAAGGGCGTAGGCCTCTCGAGGAACAGTCTTGAGTGCCAATGTGTCCTTGATAAGATCCTAGGGGAAGAAGGAGTCAGACTTTGTCGAGCTGCGAAGATATTTGGCCTGCAGACTTACCAAGTCATCTTTTAGACTTTCGGAGGGATCCTTTGCCTTGACTGCTGAAGGCTGGTCCTGCTCAACCAAGGGACGGACGGAGGAGTCCACAGAGACGTGCTCAGGGTCTGCCTTGAGCTTTTGCTGGGCCAATTCCTTTTCGTGTTGCGTATCAATGTGGTTGGGCTGAAGTGGAGTTTTGGACGAGAAAGCCGATCGAAACACCAGCGGGGAGCCGCTAGACTTTTGGAGTTGCGTATTGCGGGATACGAGTGTCGCAACAGGGCTGTTGAAGGACTTTGTGTGGGTAGAGCGGATCAAGAGTGGCAGCCTTTGCGCAGTGCCCAGGAGAGGGCGCGATGTTCGGAGCATCATGGTTTCGTGTGCTTGGTGTTTGGTGTTTAGGTGTTGATAGGAACAGCGAATTGGTAATATTCGAGTCAAATAATTGGGTTATTTGGTAGTAGACGCCGAAGCTGGGCCGAGAGGAACTTGTGAAGAGACTGGATGAAACTGACGGACGAGATGGAAGGATAGATGGGATTGAAGATATTTACAGAAAAATAACGAAAAACAAGGGATTGAAGATCAAGGAAAACAAACCGGTTACAATGGTTTGGTCCATTGTGTTCAGATCTGCTCTTGTCAGTGGACATCAAACACCGGGAAATGCCCGGCCTTGGCTGGGAATCGCTCCTTCATTCTTGATCCGAATGCTGTGTACAGGTCATTGTGTTGCCGATGAAGGGGTTGGCAAGAAGGATGGGCAGGGACGATGGCAGGAAGTGCAGTGGACTTTGGAGACAGGAACAATGACGTCATTGTCCGAGATAAAGTCTCCAACAAAACATTGAAGGGAGCTTGGACCACTTGCCGTTTTGCCGTCCAAAGTGAGGCCTTCCCCCCAAGCAGCCACCCGTCACCGCGAGCGGTTCGCGACAAGTTACTATTTTATCCCATCTCGAACAGACGTCTGAGCTTGAAAGGATGAAATCCGAGTGCAGATGTTGGTGTCATGGAAATGACATGGAGTTTGACTGCAGTTCGTGAGGAGCGTGACCTGAAGCTTCCACTTCAATTCCATTTGGGCCGAAAAGTTGGGGCCCCGCTCAAGACTGTCACTGACAGGCCCCGCTTATCTGGTCGAGTGTCCAATCAGAGTGAAGAACTAGCAGGCACCGAGTGTTCTCCGCAGCTTCCACAGGAAGGGACGGGAAAGCACGTCTGCGGTGCTGGCGCCCAACATCAGTCCAACACTCAGTTCGCAGGAGGATGCGGGGGCTGCTTCAAGTCGGGTCACTTCTTTCCTTTCCGATGACAACACTTCCATTGCTTATTGCCTCCGTGCCCCCATCCAATTCATTGAGTTGAGTGCGCTTTTCCAAGTTGGCGCCGGCGTCAGGTTTTGTTGTGGCCGGTTGATCATTCGTCATCAGCACTAGCAGTAGTTTTTCTTTCGGTATTCTTTCTCCAGTATCACATTTCTACCATACCTCTCTACCTCGACATCAACCAAGTGCATCAGGTCCGTTCAACCCAGTGTATTCTCGACACCTGTAAGTCCCGATTCCAAGATACCCTCTATGTTGTCAGCTACGCAGTGTTGAATCGGAGGCAGTCAAGAAAAAGGTTCTAGAGCTGACAAGCTGCTCCACCAAACAGACCAGACCCAAGAAACCCAACCCCGCTTTGTACGACCGAGAAGTTGCAAGACGTGGGTTCCCTTCGCTGCCAGCTCTCCTCAACTCGATACACAGAACACCGAGTAACAACAGTCACTACCTACAGACAACCACCATCAGTACCTACATCAATTCCACACGCACACAAGTACCGACACGGCGACGCATCGCGACCCGCTGCTGCATGACGTACGTGTTATCCGCACTTCTGGCATGATTTGCGCCAACCCTCCCCGACGACCTTAGTTACACCATCCGAGTTGCGAAAGACGAACGACACGGCCGACGGCCCCAGATGAAACCTCGACTTTGTCCTCGATAGATACCTCCGATCCTATTCTCGATCGATATCCCGGCCTGGGTGACGGCACCCCACACGTGCCATGCTTGAAGGTCTCGTTGCCGGGTTGCTTAACCGCTTCCTGGGCATGTACGTCAAGAACTTCGACCCTACACAGCTCAAGGTTGGCATCTGGTCCGGCGACGTCAAGTTGCGCAACCTCGAACTGCGCCGCGAAGCCCTCGATCAGCTCAAGCTGCCCATCAACGTCGTCGAAGGCCACCTCGGCGAACTCACCCTGACCATTCCCTGGTCCAATCTGCGCGGCGCTCCCGTCAAGGTCTACATCCAAGATGTCTATCTGCTTGCATCACCCAAGGAGGAGGCTGAGTATAACGAGGAGGAAGAGGAACGCCGCAAACAGCGCATCAAGATGGAGAAGCTGGACTCCGCCGAATTGCTCAAGGAGAGGAATCAGGAAGGCCTCAGTCCCGAGGAACAAAAGCGCAGCCAGAGCTTTGCCCAGAGCCTCGTCACCAAGATTGTCGATAACCTGCAGGTTACCGTCAAGAACATTCATGTCCGCTACGAGGATGCCATCTCGGCCCCGGGCCACCCCTTCGCCCTCGGTCTCACTCTCGAGGAGTTCAGCGCCGTCAGCACCGATGGAGAGTGGCAGCCTACCTTCATCCAGGACTCTACCAAGACCACCCACAAGCTAGCTACCTTGGGTGCCTTGGCCGTCTACTGGGATACCGATGCAACACTTTTGGGTCCGGGACGCGAGGCTATTACGCCGGGACATCAGGCAAAGCCCCACGACGAGATCCTCGCCGCTTTCGGATCTATGATCGCCAAGACAGATGGTGACCTCCCCGAGAACCATCAATTCATACTCAAACCCGTCTCCGGTCAGGCCAAGCTGGAGCTCGATAAATCGGGCGATACCACCGTTCCAAAGTTCAAGGCAAATCTTCTCTTTGACGAAATCGGTGTCGTGCTGGACGATTATCAGTACCGAGATGCTCTTATGATGGTCGACCTGTTCCACTACTTTATTCGACACCAAGAATACAAAAAGTACCAGCCCAAGGGCGTTCGGCCCAAAGAAGATCCCCGTGCTTGGCTCCAATTTGCCGGCAATGCTGTCCTGAGCAAGATCCACGAGCGAAACAGGAGGTGGTCATGGGACTATTTCCGCGAGCGACGAGATGACCGCAAACGATACATCGAGCTCTTCAAGAAACGCAAGCAAGGCCAGCAGCTCTCGCCTGAGGAGAACGATGATTTGACCAAGCTCGAATGGAAACTTGATTACGAAGACTTGCGATTCTGGAGGTCCTTGGCGCGCAATCAGCTCAAGAGAGAAAATGCAGAAGCCCTCAGGAACCGTCCTCCTCCCCCGGCCCAACCTCAACAACAGGGCTGGCTTGCTTGGGCCTTTGGTTCCAAGCCTAGTCAACAGCAACAGCAGGAAAAACAACAGGAGGACGAGAATACCCAAATCACAGAAGAACAGCGCAAGGAGCTGTACGAAGTCATCGACTGGGACGAAAAGACGGCTCTTGCCGCTGAGGTCGATGTTCCAAGAGACACTGTTCAGATGCAGCTCGAAGCATCACTCAGCACTGGCAGTTTTACTCTCAAGCAGAACCCGCATGGCGACTCCAGAGATCTCATCAGTCTGCATTTCGATGTCTTCAAGGCCAAGGGCCTCAAGCGCCCCGACTCGTTCCTTGCTGATGTTAGCCTGGGTGGACTGCGCGTCAATGATGGCACTACACCCAACAGCCTGTTCAAAGAAATTGTCCGTGTCAAGGATGCTCCTGATACCCATCTAGCGCATCGCATGTCCATTGCTGAACTTGAACAAAACAGCGATGAAGCTTTCTTCCAGTTCCAGGTTGAACAAAATCCCTTGGATGGCCAGGGAGATATTGCAGTTACCGCCAAGCTGAAGCCGCTCGAGATTGTCTGGAACCCCAACGTTGTCGTTGGCGTTGTTGACTTTTTCCGTCCTCCCGAGAGACACATGGATTCCATCAATGCGCTTATGGAGACTGCCGGTGCCACAGTCGAGGGTTTGCGCGCGCAGACGAGAGCCGGCCTCGAGTTTGCTCTCGAGGAGCACAAGACGCTAAACGCAAAACTGGATCTTCAAGCTCCGCTCATCATTATCCCCGAGAGCATCACCAGCAAGCAGTCCACCTGCCTCATTCTGGATGCTGGTCACATCAGCGTCAACAGTGAACTGGTGGACAAGGACACCATGAAGGAGGTGCAATCCAAACAAAAACAGTCATTCACGGATGAGGATTTGAAGACGCTTGAGTCGCTCATGTATGACCGCTTCCTTGTCAAACTTTCCTCTACACAGGTCTTGATCGGGCCGTCCATTGAGGAGACCAAGAAGCAATTGGTCGACAAGGATGACAAGATGCTGCATATCGTCGACAAGATCACCGTCGATTTTGTAGTGGAGACATCGATCCTCCCCAAGGCCCCGAACCTGACAAAGCTCAAAGTCTCCGGTCACCTGCCCGTGTTGCATGCCAGCGTATCTGATGCGAAATACAAGAGCCTGATGCGTATCATTGACGTTGCTATTCCGAAACTCGCTGGAGCTGACGCCCCTTCGCAATCAGCAGGTCAGCCTGGTATGCGTCCCCGTTTGGCAAGCAACGCTTCAACGGCATCGCACAGGCTGTTGGAGCATAGGCCATCGACCCAACTGCTACCCTTCAGTACCAGTCATCAGCAAGCCATCATTCAGGATGATGACGACCTCGAAGAGGACGAGGACGCTTTCGAAGACGCCAAGGACGGTTCAGCAACCGATCAGCTAAAGCTTCAACAACGCAATTTCGAGTTTAAGTTTGCAGTGGATGAATTGAAGGGATCGCTCTACCGTAGTGACCCAGATGGAAAGGCTCCCGATCAATTGCTTGTTGATTTAGTTGCTCAGCGCTTCGACCTCCAGTTCTACATCCGCCCCTTCGACATGTCTGCTGAGGTCTCGCTCGGGTCGGTCACTGTGGACGACTTCGTCGACAACCCGCCAGCTGAGTTCAAGGCTATCGTATCATCTGGCGATGTTGAAGAAAGTGGAGAAGTCCAGGACTTGGTCCGCGTCAAGTTTGTCAAAGTCAGGAAGGATTCGCCCGAGTTCATGCCTGTGTATGATGGCGTTGAGACAAACTTGGATGTGGCAATTTCTACCATCAATCTTGTCGTAACGCGCAAGACACTACTCACACTTCTTGACTTCGTTCTCGTCACTTTTACCAACACTGGTAATTCCAATCCTCCGCCTCAAAACGCTATTACCGATGATGGCTCGGAGACCAACATCGAGGTTGAGCCGCCAGCCCCTCCTCAACAGACTGCGGACGGTGCAATTCGGGTCAAGGTTGATCTTAAGAGTATCAGGCTGATTCTGAATAACGACGGCATCCGTCTAGCTACCCTGTCTTTTAACCATGCCGATGTTGGGGTGTTTATCCTCGGAAAGACCATGCGTGTTGCCGCAAGACTCGGCGATTTGAACCTTGTTGACGATGTCAATCTTGGTGTCTCGGAGGATTCAAGCATACGCCAGTTGGTAGCTATTCAAGGAGAAGAGCTTGCTGATTTCCGCTACGAGACATTCGATTCCGGTCGCCCCGAATCGTATCCTGGATATGACTCCTCGATTTACCTGCGGGCTGGGTCTGTCAAGATCAACTTCTTGGAGGAACCTTTCCGCAAGATTGTCGAGTTCCTTGTTAAGTTCGGCAAGATGCAGGCTATCTACAACGCCGCCCGCCAAGCTGCTGCTAATCAAGCCAACCAGTTCCAGCAAAGTCCAAGCAAGGTCAAGTTCGATGTCGTCGTCAAAACTCCCATTGTCGTGTTCCCCAGAGATGTCCATCCCGATCGGCCCAAGCGTGATCTTATCACAGCTTATCTTGGTGAGATCTACGCACAGAACAAGTTTGTACCGCTCGACGACTCGGAGAATGCCGATATCGCCATGAAGTTAACTGCAGGCATCCGCAACATCAGACTCACTTCCAACTTCCATTACACTGATGGCCAGGAGGAAGAACTCGAGCTCATCGACAAGGTTGACCTTGGGTTCCAAATTACCTATGCGGAACACAAGGAGGGCGTAAAACGGCCAGATCTGGAGATCGAGGGCAACATGTCAGACTTCAATCTGCGGTTGACCCAGTACCAACTAAACTCGCTGCTCGAGATTTCGCGTTCCGTCCCTGCTGCCTTTTCTGGTGACGCAGAACAGAACAGGCTCGATGCCGAACGCGAAGTTGACGACAGGACCCTTAATAGAGCCAGGACCATGTCGGGCTTTGACGACAACGGCGGCAATGAACAGCTCATTGATCTGGGCCCGGAGCTTGGCCCGCAAGCTGAGACCTGGACGAAGCTGGACCTCATCTTTACTGTCAACACCATTGGTTTGGAGCTGATCAACGCTCCGGAGGACCGCCCTGTTGGTGATCTCGATGCCGCGAGTCTGTCCAAATTCAGTCTCGATTCCAGCAGATTGAAGACCCGCATGGACTCCAACGGAAGTCTTGAGGCCGAGTTTGTCATTCAGTCTTTCACAATCTACGATACTCGCCAACGCGAGACCAACAAGTTCCGTCGCATCATGACAAGCGGCAACAAAGACGTTCAGCAGCTAATGGCCAGCGTTACCATGTCTGGAGGCAAGGAAAGGAACATTATTGCCATGGTCGCCATTGATAGCCCTCGCGTCATCTTTGCACTTGATTACCTTTTCGCCATCCAGAATTTTGTCACTGTTGGCCTGAAAGTACCGGAGCCTGAGGTCCCAGAGAAGAGCCCGCTCGACACGCCTGATGATATGAGTGATGCAGACTCTATGGCAGTTTCATACACCGGCAGACGGTCCGAAAGCATTGATCAGCGGGGTGAGCCCTCTGACCTCCAGACGGAGCCACCGAAGCAGGAGTCTAAGACGCGCATTGCCTATCGGGTCAACGTGGTCGATGCTCAGGTCATTTTGATTGCGAACCCGCTCAGCTCGAGTTCCGAGGCCATTGTCTTGGGAACCAAGCAAGTTCTTCTGTCGCAACAGCATGTATTGACCTTCCAAATTTCCGAGTGCGGAATGTTCCTGTGCCGCATGGATCGTTTCGATGATACACGCTTGAGGATCATCGATGACTTCTCAGTTCAGATGTCCATGGATACGTCAAAGCCGTCCACCACAAACATTCATGTTGATATTGAGCCACTTATCCTCAGAGTGTCGCTGCGGGATATTTTGCTCGTTATGCAAATTGTGAGCAAGGCATCGGAGTTGTCAGGCAACGATCCCACCGAGCCGAAGGGCACGGCATCGGATCAGAAAGCGAAGCAGCTCAAATCTTCCGACATGAAGCAACGAACCGCCAGTGGCAAGGGAACATCAACTGTCGCGAACAAGTCCAAGCGCACGGGCACCAAAACTGGGGCAACTGATCCTCGGTCCCAGAAGGGAGGCCAGCAACCGCATGATATCACCAAGACACCGCCAAGATATGAGCAGCTCACGGCAGCAATTGAAGGAATTCGGGTTGTCCTCATTGGAGATGTGCATGAACTTCCTATTCTTGACTTGAGCATCAAGTCATTCACGACTAGCGCAGAGAATTGGTCGTCAAACCTAAAGGCGGAGGTAGCGATCGAGATGTACACCAACATTTACAACTTTGCTAAGTCGGCCTGGGAGCCGCTCATTGAACCTTGGCAAGTGGGCTTCGGGGTTGCCCGTGATCAAAGCACCGGCTTGATGTCAGTCGATGTCTCATCCAAGAAGACATTCGATGTGACCCTTTCCACTGCCAGCATTGCACTGCTCTCCAAATCAATGGCGTTCCTTACTCGGGATCAGGACGTGCTAGGCAAGCCTCGTGGCGTCGAAGCGCCATACCGTATCCGCAACTACACGGGCTTCAACATCATCATGCAGGCCAAGAGAGAGGGCACCGAAGATACTACACCCCTGCGTCTTGACGATGGCCAGGAGACTCCTTGGAGCTTTGAGAATTGGGAAAAGGTGCGAGAAAGTCTCTCCGGCGAAAGCAACAGCACTGGCAATGTGGCCATCCAGTTGGAGGGCAGCGGCTTTGACGCAGTCAAGAACATCCGAATCAATCGCGAGGGAGAATTCCTCTATGCCCTCAAACCCAAGACAGATGAGGTGCTGCACAAGCTCATGGTCGATGTGAAACTTGGCACAGACAATGTCAAGTATGTTACTCTGCGCAGCCCGCTATTGGTTGAGAACGACACCGACATACCAGTTGAGCTTGGCGTCTATGACGCTCAGGAAGGACATCTGCTCAAGATCGAAAAGATCGCCCCTGGCGATAGCAGGCCTGCCCCCGTTGGCGCTGTCTACATGAAGAGCTTGCTCGTCCGCCCTGATCCAGGGTTTGGATATGGCTGGAGCAATGACACACTCTGGTGGAGAGACCTTCTGAAACGTCCGACCAAGACGTTGATGTGCAAGGGTGAACATGGAGATCCATTTTACTTCCAGCTGTCGGCTCGATATGACAAGGCCAATCCGACAACAAGGTAAGCTATGGTTTGATTCACACTTGCGGCTGATGTACATACTAACATCTGCCAGGACCTACCCGTATATGCGCTTGAAGCTCTCCGCCCCCGTCACCATCGAAAACCTACTGCCGTATGACTTCAAATACAGGATCTACGACAAGAACACCAAGAAAGACTGGTCCAACTTCCTTCGCAAGGGCGGGGTTAGCCCTGTACACGTTGTCGAGCTGTCCCATCTGCTCCTCCTTAGTATCGATATGCAGGATACCGTCTTCAAGCCAAGCGAATTTGCGATCATCAACTCCGGCACCTCTGAGGACTTCCGCAAGGAGACAAACCTTGTCTGCAAGGACGATTCCGGTCAGGCGCTCAATCTGAAGTTGCATTACTTCCGCATTCCCGATAGCGGTGGCGCGTTCAAGGTCACTGTCTACTGCCCCTACATCATCCTCAACAAGACGGGGCTCGATGTAGGCATTCGCTCCAAGGGCTTTATGCAGCATGCCAAAGCGGCGGCCGGCCAGATTTTGGGTGATGCCGATGAAAGCCAGCGCAAAGCCCAACCAATCATGTTCTCCTTTGGTAGCGATGACCACAGAAACCGCGCATTGCTCAAGGTTGCCGATTCCGACTGGAGCAGACCGCAAAGTTTCGACGCCATTGGAAGTACCACCGAAGTGGTGCTCAACTCACCCTCTCGCAATGCCGAGATCCATCTGGGTGTCACAGTCGACACGGGCCATGGCAAGTACAAGATGGTGAAGACGGTCACGCTTGCACCGAGATATGTCATCCAGAATAGGCTCGGCGAAGACATCAACATCCGAGAGCCGAGTTCGTCGTCACTTCTTGAACTCAAGGCCGGCGCTCTTCGTCCGCTGCACTTCCTTCAAAGAGGTGCTGTCAAGCAGCTCTGTCTCTGCTACCCGGGTGTCGATAACCAGTGGACGGCTCCCTTCAACATCTCAGATTTGGGTACAACGCACATCAAGATCGCTCGCGCCGGTGAACGGCAAAGGCTCATTAGGGTTGAGACACTCATGGAGGAATCGACTATTTTCTTGAACCTGACTATGGAAACGAAGAACTGGCCCTTCTCGATGCGGAACGAGAGTGACACTGAGTTTACGTTCTACCAAGCAAATCCGAACATTGACGAGGACGGAATCGAAGACCGCTCCGGCTGGCGTCCCGTGCGTTACCGTCTTCCGCCCCGGAGCATCATGCCCTACGCGTGGGACTTCCCGGCTGCCAAAAACAAGGAGATTTGCATCAGCGCCAATGGCAAGGACCGTCATGTGAAGTTGGCAGAAATTGGTAACCTGATTCCGATGAAGTTGGTTGGCCCTGATGGCCAGACCAAGGTCATCGACATCAATGTCATCGCCGATGGGCCTACACAGACTCTGATCCTGTCCAACTTCAAGCAGTCAAAGAGTCTGTACAAGCAAAAGTCTAATGCCGGCTCGACAGACCGTGGCATTTTTGAAGCGAAGGAATTGGATACAGGTGTCACTTTCCGTGCGCAGCTGAGACTATCCGGCATTGGCATTTCGCTGATCAATTCCCAACTGAAGGAACTGGCCTACATCACCTTCAGAGATGTGCAACTTCGATACAGCGATTCACATTTGTACCAGACTATCAGCCTGGCTGTCAAGTGGATCCAAATCGACAACCAGCTGTACGGAGGCATATTCCCCATGATCTTGTATCCCAGTGTCGTGCCAAAGCGCGCACAAGAGATCGAGGCCCACCCGTCGTTGCATGCCATGGTAACTCGTGTCAAGGACGACTCATACGGTGTTGAGTACATCAAGTATGCCACGGTCCTCCTGCAGGAGATGACTGTCGAGCTTGATGAAGACTTCATCTATGCCGTACTCGATTTCTCAAAGGTGCCGGGTGCATCATGGTCTTCATCCGATGAAGAGGACAAGCTGTGCGATGACAACATTGACATTCCGCAGCCGAAGCAGCTGGCGGCTGGCCGTGACATCTACTTTGAGGTGTTGAACATCCAACCGATGCAGCTCGACTTGTCATTTGTGAGAACGGAGCGTGTAAACGTGGAAGACAAAACATCATCAAAGAACCCAATCATGTTCTTCTTCAACGTCATGACCATGGCCATTGGCAACATCAACGATGCCCCCGTTCGGTTCAACGCCCTCATGCTCGAGAACATGCGCGTCTCTGTTCCGGTTCTCATCCAGAATATCTCGAATCACTACAGTCAAGAGGCTCTCTACCAGGTACACCACATTCTGGGAAGTGCCGATTTCCTGGGCAACCCGGTTGGTCTGTTCAACAACATCAGCTCTGGCTTCGCCGATATCTTTTACGAGCCATACCAAGGTCTCATCATGTCCGATAGGCCTGAAGATTTCGGCATTGGTCTAGCCCGTGGCGCCGGTTCCTTCTTCAAGAAGTCCGTTTTCGGCTTCAGTGACTCTTTCTCCAAGGTCACTGGTAGTTTCGCCAAGGGTCTCGCGGCTGCCACCATGGATAAACAATTCCAGGACCGTCGCCGCATCACACGTGCTCGCAACCATCCCAAGCACGCCCTCTTTGGCGTCACCGCCGGTGCCAACAGCCTGTTCACCTCGGTTGCATCGGGTGTTGGAGGTCTTGCCCGCAAGCCGCTCGAAGGTGCAGAGCAGGAAGGTGCTCTCGGCTTCTTCAAGGGAATTGGCAAGGGCGTGGTTGGTCTGGCAACCAAACCGGCCATTGGTGTCCTAGACTTTGCCTCCAATGTTAGCGAAGGCGTGCGCAACACCACCACGGTCTTTGACGGGTCCGAACTCGACCGCGTCAGACTACCGAGGTATATCCCCCCGGACGGTATCATCAGGCCATACAGTCAACGTGAGGCGCTAGGCCAGAGCTGGCTCAAGCAAATCGACAATGGCAAGTACTTCGATGAGCAGTACATTGCCCATCTTGAGCTGCCAACCGAGGATAAGGTGGTTATGGTTACATTTGCGCGGATCTTGCTCATCAGGAGCAGGAAGTTGCAGACGGAGTGGGATGTGCCACTGAAGGATGTGCAGACCATTGCGAAGGAGAGGACGGGCTTGAGCTTGACGCTGAGAGGAGGAACCAATGGACCCTTTATTCCCATTGGAGAGGAAAGTGGAAGGACGTTTATATACCGCCAGGTGGCGATTGCTGTGGAGGAGTTTAATCGCCGTTTCCGGGGTTTGGAATAAGGAAGGGGTGAAAACGGGTTGACGAATGATGCGATGACGGTATGAGGTGGGAACAGGTCAGTGCTGAAAGGCGAGCTCTTTTTCTTTTTCTTTTTCTTTTTTTGTTACGATGCTATGAGGAAAAGAAAAACATGGATATGAGCTGTGGTGGTTTTTTTTTTTTTTTTTTTTGGCTTTGATGGTTTGGTGAGCTCCGAAGTCAGAAGGTCAGGGTGTTGTTGATGATGAACGATGCACGATTCCCCTAGAACCAAAATTTATATGTTATGTTCTTACAATATCCTCGCAACCGGCACCAGTCGCTACGGTTTGTCTCCAGCGTAGTTCTCATCGATGATGTCTTTGTTCGAGGTCGCCATCACGCTCTTGATGTTTGCATCCAACCAAGCTCCTCGAAGGCCCGTCTACTCTCCGGCCCCAATCCTCTCCAATAACCTCCCCATCATGACCCCAGCATTATTCCCCTGCACATGCTCCAACCGGTACACCTCACTCGAAGGTAACGGCACATACTCCACCCCTTCCACCCCTTCCTGCAACGACAGCCAGCTGGCGAGGAGCAACCCCTCAACCAACCAGAGGGACTTTTCTCCTTCGTCTGTGAAGGGCCCTGACCCTTCCTTTGCCTGATCTCTTCTGCCTGTTGGTGATAGAGGTACGGCAGTGCATGGAGTCGTTGGGGTTTGCGGTTCATGTTGTTGTCGCTGTCGCTGTTGGGCAAGCGCACATGCATCTTCCAACCTGTCTATCCAATCTAGGTAGGAGTCGAACCACGAGTTGGAGGAGTTGGTATGTGAGCTGGAGGGGGAGGGGGAGGGGTGGTGGTAGAGGGATTGGAGGTGGGATTCTTTGACGCGGTGGAGGCGGAGTTTGAACTTTCTGCTGCTGCTGCCGTCGCTTGGTTGATGTTGATGTTGAGGTTGAGGTTGATGTTGAGCTTGAGCTTGAGGTTGGGTAAAAGCGGAAACGGAAGCGGAAGCGGTGTAATACATGTGCGAGGAACACTTGGCGTCTAGGCCGGGACGGATGTAGTATTTGATCTTTGGTGAAGGTGAGTTGGATTTGCTTGTTGCTATGTTTCGCATACTTGAGGTTTGGTTGTGGTTTTGGCTTTGTCTAGCGGGTGTTATGGTCGCCCCGCCTGTCCCCACCAAGCCCAATGGACTGAACAGCACTCCATCGATACTCCCATGTGAGTGAGTGGGAACGGAAACGGGGGAGACTGGCGAGAGTGCATATAGCCGTTGTGACTGGATGGGTGTGGCACTGTCAAAGGGGTCGATGTACTGATTTTGAGGTGCTGGTGGTGGTTTGCGGAGAGCGATGGTGATGGAATCATCGGGCTTGAGGGAAAGCACGAGGCCGTAATCGGTTTCGAATGAGAGGCTGAAGTTTCGGCTGACTTTTCCCTTGGTCTGGGAAGCTGTGCCTGCTGTGGTGCAGAGGAGGAAGGCCAGGTCTGTGTTTGTGAGGGTTCTTGATGTTCGTGACATTTTGTTATTGTTGTTATGGACTTGTGGATGAGGGAGTAAGGATTGAAAGGAAGTAGGGACACTGTCAAATTTTGGAAGGACGGTGGCTAAGAGCAGCAGAATATATGAGGGTAAGGCTATAGTTCATCTTGATATAGCTGAAGCAGAAAAATAGCAAGTGGATGTGCGGGGTGAAAAGGCGTCGAGGTACCTCTAGGGTTGTGCTGATGCCGAGTCTCGAGCCTGATCTGATCAAAGAGGCGCAGATGATAGTCATCAAACCAGCGGAAATAGTCATACAGACTAAAGAAGTCCCCAAGAACTACGATCACAGGTGAAAGTCCTCCCTTTCTTACTCTAGAGGTAAACTTGGCAACGGCACGGTTTGATGTTCAAAGGAAAGATCGGAAAGACGACTTCTAGAAGCCAAATAAAGATCGGAGCCACCCGGACGCCAGTAGATACCAGATCTTCTGATGCAAGATAGCGGGGCTTAAACCGCAACGTGCCGTGGAACGGACTCGATTGGTCGTGGATGACGGTTACGAAAATTGTTACTACACACCAATTGATCCCCATTGGCTTCTCTAGCCGCTCAGTGTCAGCGCTCAAAATAACACGGAGGGAGGAAAGGCTATCTCCTGCCCAGAGGTTCGCTGCGTTTGGTGTGGGCATGGCATGATCTGTGGATATAGGTCTGCTGGTGGTGATGGTAGGTAGTAGGTTAGAGTTACAAGCAGTGAAGATGCAGTTCATCAGAGGTAGGGATCATATTATAGCTCTTTATTATCATGGGCACAGGATCTCTTCCTCATTCATGACCTGAAAGTCTGTGTTGCGGGGAGTTCCGCATGCCGCCTATGTCCATCCAGCTCATAAACCCAATTCTGTCCCGCTACCTCTGCAGGCTTGCTATGGGAATAGTTCAAATCCATGCTTGCCATATCCTCTTCTGCAGGTGGTGATCGATATTGGCGATTGTCTTGCAACATACTCACTAACCCCCGCATACACGTCTGCTTTAAATTCAAATTCGTGTGAACCACATCCGTCCCTGTTGCTGGCGCCGGCCATCTCACTTGCCACTACCAAGCTCTCCTCGGCTGAAATGGCCTTGGCTGCTGACAGTCTTTTTCGGGGAAATAATAAAGCCATTGCAGCTATCAGCGTGGTGCCGGCAAGGCCGCCAACCACTCCACCGACAATTGCGCCCACATTGGCCTTTGATTCTGCTGAGGAATCGCTGTCGCCCCCATTAGTACCGTTGCCAGGAGAAGACTCGCTTTTGCCGTCGCTACTATCTTTGCACGCCTCGGTATCTCGCCTCGGTATCTGATGTGCCGTGGGAGATGGAGACCAAAGAACTCTTGGTGTTTGGGTTGGCTTGCCACAGGCTGAAGGTTTCGGCGTCGTGGTCGACCATCAAGTAGGCTGAGGTGAAGAAAAAGCGACCGATTGAGGCAGGTCTGGGCCAAGTAAGCGGAAAGACGTCAAGGTATGTAGCGGGTTCCCGAAATGTACACCTCTGCCGGCATGTAAAATGTTAGCGTGGTACCGCCACCTTACAATATTTAGGGGGTGAGAGGTGAGCATATTGGCCATCTTTTGTACGAAAATTAAAGTTCTTGCCACTTGCAAATCACCGCGCTAACATTTTATATGCCGGCAGAGGTGTATACTTGGGGGCTTCTGGGCGCCAAGCCTTCCTTTGCCCCCTCTTTGCTAAAGAGGGGGATCCGAAATCCTGGGACAGTCTTTTAATTTGGGACACATTAGAAATCTTGGCGTTTCTCACAGAAGAGTGGTCAGATGACACGACCCCATACCTAAAGCTTCCTAACCCCATAGTCCGTATGTTTACATACAAAATTGGTCCGACCCACAAAAGAAAAAGATTAATACAATTATTACAATACGTATTCGTACGGAGTCAATTCAATATATTAAATTAATAATAGTAGTTTGAATAAAGTCTGATAATATATCCATAATATATTTAGAATATATCTTAAGCCGTAAATAAAGAAATTAAACTTTATAAGCTTATCCGGGTCGCACACACAAAAGTCCCACCGTAGAGAAACAGCTTCACTCGCTTGCCCAAAATTCCCCCGTAGAGAAATATAAAGTCCAATAATATATTTATAATATATTTAAAATATATTTTAAATTATAAATAAGGAAGAAGTAAGCTCCGTAGGTTTATCTGAAGAGCGGCGGAATTCGCACTAAATAACGCAATTCCAGCCTTTACCGCCCTATTTAAAGCGGTAGGGAGGAAGACCTATAATAAATTAATAATAATAAAAGATTTATTAAAGATACATCTAAAATGAAATTTATAAATACGTTTAAACTTTTTATATACTACGCAAATAAATTTAGCGGATGAAGCGATATTATCGCGCTTTTTCTATTATTTTTTTTATTAATTGGGTATTAATTTAAATATTAATTAAATTAATTAAGGATAATTAAAGGATATATTAAGGATAAATTAATAATTTATTAAAAATAGATCTAAAATACTTATATTACCGTTCTTCTAGAAAGGGACTTCTATAAAACCGTTTTCCTCCGTATCCGCCTCCTCTTCGTTCCCTTTCTCCTACACCTCCTACTACTCCTCCTCCTATACTTCCTACTACTCCTTCTCCTACACCTCCTACTATTCCTCCTCTTCAATTAATAATAAATCCAATAAGTCCGATTCTTCGTCGATAACCGCTACCTTACGTTTCTTAGGAATAACCGGCTATAAAATCCTATTAAGAATAAGGACGGTTATAGCCTAACCGGAGGTTATAAAGGTTATAAAATCTTTATACTATCTTAAATTTATTTATAATTAGTTTTAAATTATTTAAGAATTAGTTAGGAATAGGTTATATACTAATAGTAATTATATAAACCTCAGCCTTAATACTTCTAATTAAAATATTAAACAAATACTCCTTAAGGATATTATAAATACCCTTTAAATATTCAATAAAATTGCGATAGGTAGTAAATATAATTTAAATAAGTTAAAAATTAATTATTAATTTAATATTAGTAACTTTCAAATAATACTTATATTAAAACTGCACTAAATATCCGCACTATTATAACCCGGCTTAAATTTTTTCTAGCGGCAAAAAATCTTACCAAGGGCGACTATATATACGCCTTATAAGGTAATTGGCGGGGATAGATTAAGGATAAATTAGAGATAAACTAATAATTAGTTTTAATATTTATATATTTATTAGTTTCTAAAGGGGGTACTATAGTTTAGCGCTTACTTTTATCCTTAAATTTAACGGGTTTCTAATCGCTATCCAAATATTCCTTATATACATTAAAGGCCGTAAATTTATAGTAAGCAGGCACTATTATAAAAAATAAATCGTTAATAAATCTCTAATTAATTTCAATAAATTTCGGAAGAACGGCGGGGGGTAGATAAAAGTAAATTAATAAATATTTAAATAATCGAAGAAGAATTAGGAAAAAGAAATTTAAAAAGAAAAAATTCTAATTAATATAACGATTATTCCTCTCGCTAAATTAATGAATACGAATACGTAATTACGCTATCTATATTATACTATACGTATCCGCTAAGAGAGGTAAGATATTAAATAAAATCTATAATATAAATTAATTTTAAATAAGATTAGAATAAATTTAATTTTATTCGCTCAATTATTTACACCGGCCTTAATTTCCTAAAATAATACTACTTAGACTTTATATAGACCCGGTTAGCGATTATATTATAAGATTTAATACTATAGTATAATTAATATTTATACGGATTATATTTTTAAGAAGCTACTAATTCGAATTATATATTATTTTTTTAATATCTAAAAAAAAGATTATAAAATATATTATGAGTCTAAATATACTAAAATACTATATATTAAAATAGTAAGTAGTAAAACGTTTACCGGTAAATATTTATTTATGGAGAAAGTTATAATATATAAATTTTAAACTTAATATAATTCCCTACGTAGAAATATTAAAAACTTAGCCTCCATTTATATATACGAGATAAGATAAATATTTAATATAAGATGAATCAGCATCGCTATCACCGTCTTGGACCGCAAGATATCGATTATAATAATATATAGATAATCTGTATATTAATTATTGAAGTAGCGAAATTAATAATTAAATTTATTACTAATATATAAAAATTAATTAACGGGCAAAAATATAAGACCCGATTATTATTTTGAAATATACGAATAAATATAGATAAAGTTTAGTATTAAATTCGAATATCGAACGAATTTACTAATAAATTAGCTAAACCGTAATATAATAAAGACGGAATCTAATTATTATCTATAAAAATAGGATAAATCATTAATAAATTCCTCTTTTACATCCTAATTTTAATTTTAAGGCTAAATAAAAACGAATAATTACGTAGTATAGAATTCTATAAGTAAAATCGAATATAATTTAATTAGAAAAGTATTTATTTAGTATTACAATTAAATACTAATAATTGTTCGAACCCCGTTGCTAAATTATTTATCCTTCATTAGATAAATTGTTAACCTGATTCTAATTATAGAAGGTCTTACGTATTTTCGCCTACTACGTCCGCTACTTTCTCCATAATACCTAATAATTTATTATACTTATTTTTAACCATCCTTTAAATATTTACTAACTTCTTATTAAATTCGTAAAAACCCTTTCGAATAATTACTTTTAAATTTTTAATTACATTTATAGTTCCGTCGTCCCGCTGTTTTTTAAAGTAATTCTATCCCGGACGGTTTTATTTATTATTTTCCGTACTTATTAGAATATATTAATAAAAAGGCTTTCGAGAGCTTATATTCGTATTAACGTATTAGTATAGTTAGTGGCTACTTATATTACGAATTGTATAATAGTATAATAAATATTATAATTGATTAATTCAAGTTCCGATCTTAGGTTATTAAATTAAATTAAATTATTATTTATAAGTTGGCCGTGTAGACCTATTATAATTATAGTTAGTACACGTCCGATAGATAAAGGGTAATTGTATATTGAAATTAATATATATTATTAGATTACAGAAATTACTCCCTATATAATTCTGTTAGGCAATTTAATTTAAAATAAACTTTCTCCTTATTATTATTCTTATTATCCGATCCTTATTACGATTCTAATTCTTTTAAACCACTTTTCTCAACATTAACTAAAAATGTCTTTATTAAGTCTAATAAATATTTATACGATAATTAATTCCCTAATTAATGATAATCGTATAGGAAAAAAGTTTTTAAAGCAGTTAAACAACGATATAGTCACAACGAATATAGTTTTAATAGGTTATTAAATTCTTTTATATCTTTATATTATTTAAAATTATAATT